TCCGCTGTGCACTTCAAGATACACAGGCGCTCCTGCAGCTGCAGTGGCAGGAATACCTGTGGCGAACGACTGCTTCGCGCTGGACGCACCTTTTCCTGTCGCACGAATCAGAGGATATCAATGGTTTGGAAAGCAAAACAACCCTATTCAGAAAGCCAAGCAAAAGACTGATCAGGCTCCAAAAGCTCCCGCGTCCATTTCAATCCATACCGACTAGCGATGGCCTCCAACCTAATAGCAATGGCCTCCAACCTACTAGCGATTAGCGATGGCCTCCAACCACTAGCGATGGCCTCCAACCTAATAGCGATGGCCTCCGACCTGCTAGCGATGGCCTCCAACCTAATAGCGATGGCCTCCGACCTACTAGCGATGGCCTCCAACCTACTAGCGATGGCCTCCGACCTACTAGCGATGGCCTCCAACCTAATAGCGCCTATTTTGCAGAAGTCTTGGGGTCTTGGCCATTGAAGAGGTAATCCACTGCTCGCTCAGGATTATTGAAGGCGGCTGCCAGCGCCTCTGAAGTTGTCGAAGAGAATTTTAGCCAGGCGAGAAATGAGAAAAACCAGGACTTGTTCGAGTTCGGCAAAAAGCGCATCTGCTTTCGGTTTCAGCAGAGAGCCAACCTGTTTTTATCATCAGGCAATAGAAGATCCATGTGCAAAAGGAAGTGGGAACGAGGGACAAAGGCCCTTCTTCAGTAGTGAGCGGACAAGTCTACGATGTTGCAACCTTTGGGCTCATCAAGTTTAATGTCACATAACTGCACTTACCACGCCTAAAGCAAACCATTCATTATCCATGCTTTCTTGATCATTCGCGATCCTTGAAAGAAAACAACCCGCCAACACCCTGTAGCCTAGACTAGAATCATCTAAAATCCATGGCAGCAACTGCCGACACTTGTGCTGCCAGCCGGCACCACATTCCCCACCACCCCGGCAACACCTGTCGTGCCCTGTCATCACCTGCCTGCTCTACTTTGGGGCGATCAAAGCCCATGGCACAAAGCTGTGCCACAACCTCTGGTGGGGGGCCTTGGCAAAGCACTCAGCTGGCCAGTCTTGATCAAAGCACGCAACTGGAATTCGACATCACTAATGTCCCAGTTTGAATGACTTGTTGACCCTGGTTCGTGTCTGTGCAGCAAGCAGCACAAACGCCAAAGACTGCAGGCCCTTTGAGCAATTGCAAGAATATGGCTTGACCCGTTGAGCCATCTGCTCGGCCATCTCCACGGTAAACCCATTCTCATTGCCACCATGCAGCTGTCGCTGGGCGCTGCAGGCGCCACCGGAGCGGCTGGAGGCGCCACCGGAGCAGCTGGGGTGGGAGTAGCTTTGGCCGCCTCAAACCGATTGCAGCGTGGAGCTCGTGGTGCTTTGACCAAACATCCAAGCGTTAGTTCTGTTCAGCTCCTAGAGGTCCTAGTTCAAGCAATCAGTTTGGTATCTTAGTTGCTTCGGTAGGGCATATCACAACTCATAGTGGATGAGACTTAGTAAGAAAATAGCTTTATGACATTTGGAGCGATCGGACGCTACGAACGATCGGGGCTCCTGGCCTCGCGACTCGAACGGAGCGTTCGGATGCTACGAAGACCGACCGACCCGTTCGGCCTTCGGCACCACGACGACGAAGTCGCTGCTCTGAAGACCCAAATCTTTGATGACCTCTACTTCGCGAAGGGACGAAGAAGCAGAAGAAACGAATGGAAGCATGTTGGAACCCTAGGAATGGCCTCCAAGCTAATAGCGATTTAGAACCCTACGTCATAATTCTTTTGTTTTTGAAAGCAAAGGATGGAAAGGGACACTACATCGCCAAAACCATCTATAGTTCCAAATGCAAACCTGCGGAATGGCCTGGTCGTGCTGCAAGACTTTGCCTTTGTACACCATGCGAGGCAGCTCCTGGAAGCTCGACCCAGCACACTAAGGACCTATTGACAATAAATGGCAAGAAAACCACTGCGGCCTTTACAACCGCTGTCCAATGGTTTCCTATGGCTTCACCTGCAGCCCTCTGTTACAACTGCCCTTCCACCTCTTCGTCCAGCTGCTCCGGCATGGTTGAGATCACCAAAACTGCCTCAGACCGCAAATGAGTGGGCGTACTTTCAGTCCATGAGTTGCGTCACAAACATCTCTTGGGGCAAGCCAACCCATCTTCTGGTCGACCTGGTACGCCCGGTCACCACACGCTTTTCGAATATATTTTGTATACATCGAGTCAAACAGGCAGAGTCTTTGGGAGGTTCTCCGTTTCTTCAGCTCACTCCTCCAAACCTTCACAGACATGTGACCCAAAAGCCAAAAAAGAACAAGAATGGAGCGCAGCCAAGGGGCCGCCACGTTCCCACGCCGCATCCCCGTTCCGCCCACGGTGCCTAAAAACCTACCCATTCACCGAGCTGCTAGAGCTTCGACGGTCTCCTGGTGCGACCAAGTAAACACGGCCAGGGCAGCCCAGACTGCTGGTTCACATCAAAAATACATCAAAAAGATGAAGGTGGACTAGAATAGACGAAATTCAAAGGGTTGCTGAGGAGACCCCGTGTTTCATTCTAGGTTACGGGAGCCGCCCAGGTTGACGATTTCACCAGACCTCGGCGACGATTTCCGTCATGGCAGACGCCACTGGTGATGCTTCTCGGTCCATTGTGTCAGTGTGCAATCCACATGGTCCCCCAAAACAATCCAAAACACCAACGGCAAGTGTGTCAAACCTCTCATGCCCCAGTGCTTCGCAACACCTGCCGTGGACGAAGCAACCAATTCAGTTCCTGCTATGAAGTGCTGGAGATTGTACGTGCCGCCTGTGCGTATCAGACTCTCATATCTGTATGAGTCGAATGGCCGAGTCTGAACCTCCAGTGATGCGACGCTGGTCTCTTGATGTCGTTTTGGCCGTTGGCTCGGTCCCTGTTCGTCTCAGTCGGATGGTTGCATCACGCATCAGCCACTGCGTGATACTGAGAAGTATCCATGGCCAAGGGTCCATCACAGGCAGCTCTATAATATGTTTAAAGAATATGAGTAAAACGCAAATCACGGTAAGTGCAGCATCATTATTCATCTGCATTCTAACATATTCTAACCATGGCCCTCATACTTAATGGTTCTCCACGCCCCAAAAAACGATGCGTCGGTTCTCCACACGTCCTCATCGTCGATCTCCACAGGGAAAGGCTCTGCCGACCCGATGCGGAGCTTCAGCCTCACCGTTGATACCGGGCAATACGCCACAGACACAGACAAATGGCACCTGCTTCAGGTTGGTGAAATATGTTGTGCAAGCAAACTCTGAAGCTTTGCTTGATTCATTTGAACATAAAATCAGTGAAAGAAGGAGAGCTCTCTGAAATGTCCATCCTTTGAAGGCGCTGTCTTGCGCAATGGAAACCTGTGCCTAAATTCTCATATGAGCACATGCTTAGAGGCATCATCGGTTGTTTTGCTGCTCCTAAGGCGCTTGCTTTGCGGGAGTAGCAAGATTTAGAATGCATCACCGTGTTGCCAACACGGCAAACCGAATAGAATGTGCGCACCGAATGTCATGTCGGAACCATTCCTCCGATCGGGTCCATGCAGAGCCCCAAACCCAAACCATTGATTCTGGCCAAAGTGAAGAACTTTTCTGGATGTTTCGGTCGGATCGATGCTTCAACGGAAGCAGCTTTCGGGATCCCATGGATGGAAGCCGTAACAAATCATCAACTGTCATGCAACTTCAAAGCAAGATTGTAGGTGCCCTGTGATATGTGATCATTTATGATAAGTTCAAGACCCCCTCAAAGGGAAACAAGAACAAAGAGGTGAAAAGCCCGGAACCGAGGCTGTCAGCCCAGTGCGCGCTTCGCGTGTGGGGAGCCCCCGCTCCACCGGTGCCATCTCACCTCGGCGATGGTATGGAATGGTCGATTTATAGGGGACACAGGTGGTGATGATGATGACGACCATCACCCAAATTCACAGTTTGGCATCTCCTCTTGCAGTATCTGTGTCAGGCAGTGACATATTGGTGAAGGGGATGTCCATCAAGATTCAGGGTATCAAATTAAAGACTCTGGAAGCCTTTATGGCTTTGGGAATGGCTACCGGTGTTGAACACGTGCTGATTCGTAGCGCGCCGTCCACGATCCTTGATTCTAACACAAGCCATCATAAGCCTATGTTCATGACTCCTGACACGCTGTGAAGGGCCTAAAGCTACAGGCACCAAGTCAGACGGGTTGCCCAACAACAGCCCCAGCAGGCTACATGGATCACCCAGCCAACTGTGAGCCAAAGAAGTCTTCGCGGGATCCGTTGACGATGTGGGATCTGCCATGGACCAGTACCCGTTTTGCGATGCAGAGATTTCTCAGGCTTGAACTTCCTCAGAATCTCCGACAACAGGTCTGCGAAGGCAAACACAATAGAATCTCAACTGCTACAAAAGAGCCCATCGCCATTTTCTTCCGATCTGAGCTACAAGCTTCGAGTTGCTCCGATCTGGTACCGTTGAAGTCACGTCATGTGTCGGAAGGAACTGCAAGGAACCCTATACATGTCCGATGCATCAAAAGATGAATTGGGCAGGCAAATGAGCAGCACATGTTCCCCAGAGGCGCTATCGGGGTAGCTTGGAAAGTGTTGTTCTTCGTCCAGGGTGGGGAGGTAGGGACAAAGCTGACAAATCAGGCTCACTTTCAATGCCCAACGGCCTGCAATAAAACAGGGTTCTGCCTTTGTAAGGCGGAATCTTGCTGTTAAAATGCCCATAACCCTTACGTACGCAGGTCAAAGCTGCTGGAAAGTCGTAGCATCAGCAGCTGTTCAGGTACAGCCATTGATCTGCTTCTGTCTTGTGAAGGGCCTGGCAAGACTGTACACTACAGCAGGATTGCTTGGCGAGAGAGAGAGAGAGAAAGATTTCTGAGAAACTCGGCGTCATCTTTGCAATTTTGACGCACTTCACATCTCACTTGTCACACGGTCGCATGCACACATCCATCACTTTTGGGGCAGCGGCACTCCTTGCACCACCTGCACAAATGAAATGCTATCTTGAACAAGCAGCGAAATATTGGAGGGGAATGGCAAGACCATCAGCATTGACCTTCGAGGCACCCTTTTCATTCCAGGTCTTAGTGTGAATCATGTTTGCTACTTTCCTATCTGTCACAAAATGGCCTGCTGATTCGTCATTTAGATCCTTAGACCCATCGAAATTGCCTGCTGAGGAGGTGCTGTTGGCGCCGGAGCCTCCGCCCAAGCGTCGGGTCGAAGAGAAAAAATAGAACAAAAAAACGTGCAAACAAAAGCTGGATTCGGGCCAAAGTGGGTTGGAGGCCATCGCTCCTACTGGGTCACCTCACCTTTCTTCATTCCCAAATCGATCGAATCAGCTCTCCCACCCGCACAAAAACCAACCGTTCAGCTCTCCCTACGTGTCGGTGGGGTGCCTGTGCGCCCGGGTCCGCCGGGGTGGCGCCCGGCAAGTTCAGGCGCTGCAGGATGGGATTGGCAGCCAGGACATCGCCCAGGATCTGTTGGCGAAGGTCCTTGTGCGATGAAAGGGGTTTGAACGTCTGGAAGAGGTGCGATAAGCTTCAAGAACAGTGCCTTCAAGTGCTCAAGTGGACAAAATTGATGAGTTGGAGTACGAACTGCTCCAGTACCCTTGTGTGGCAGTGTCAGTAGTCTTTCAAGACTTGACTTGTTGTGAGAACCCAGGGCTGCCAGCTGCCCAAAACTCTTGTCCTCTTTTCGGGCCTGGAACCAACAACACGTCTAGCACCAAACACGTACCATCATCGCTAAAACAGCTAGTGTCTGGAAAAGCACACCTACAAGTAGGAGAGGTGTAAGACTCTTAACACCTCGACATGTTGTCAAAGACATGCTTTGAAACATCCCTCGGATGAGCGGATGCAGCACCTCCTGCGTTGTTGAGGGCGCTTCCGGCTGTCCCATCTCTGTGTGAGCCTCACGGTGGAAAAGCACATCAATGAATCTAAGTTGCACATCGACTCAAGGCCACAAAGAAGAGTCATCTAAATGCCTTGACAAGGAATGGAAGCAGACTATGTATATGCATTTATATACATTACATCTGTTTGCAATGTGTATCTATGTATTTGTAAACACATACTATGTGCTGCAAATGTCACCTGCAGGAGAAACGATGCATCTAAGTACATCCATGAAAGGTTTGGGACTAGTCCTGCAAGGAGAAAAATCCTCCGAATAAAAGTGTTCGAAGCTTCTGTCTTAGTCTACGAAAGGGCGATAAAAACGGTCGGACTGAACAAGTTGGGATGCTTGATACGGTCTCTGCCCCAGTGACGACCTTGGCAGCGAAACAAATAAAAAAAGTGTGATGGATGGAAATCGTTGTAGATACACAGGCTGGACTGTTGGAAAACTTATACAAAACCTTGTTGCTTGGAGGTGTCCACCCTTGAGCCTCGTCCAGCGTCATGAGGCGTGCAGGGGTGGCACGGCGGTTCACCATGGCTGAGACAGAGCCCATCACAGCAGTGCCCAGGACCTGCGAATCGGTCAAGTGAAAACGGTGTTAAACGTTGGCGAATTCCTCATGGCATGCAAGCGATTCCTCTTGATCAAACAGGCTGCGAATTCCTTGCGTGTTTGCCGAGCGATTCCTAAGCCAGAGTTGATTCCTGATTGATAGCAGAACACCTGGGCCGGATGATCCGAACGCTGCGACAAAAACCCTCCCCTGCCAGGACACCTCATCGCCCCTCAACTCTCCGTGTCGGCCTTGATGGTGATCTGTGTGTTCCCCAAGGTCTCGGGCATCGCGCCCGAGCTGTTGTGGTAGAGGCCCCCACTGTTGCCGAAGCCACCCATGATCGCCCGGCCATTCCTGACACCGAAGGCGGCGGACGCATCGCGTTCGGAGAGACACGTGGTGAAAATGAAAAAAGTCGACACTATAGCGTACCGGGTCAGGAAGTGATCATGGCACAGCGCTACTAGGACTTATAGTAGTAGGAAAAAGAAGCTACGAACGGAACAAAGGGCATCGCTACGAACGGAGCGTTCGGACGCTACCAACGTGGTTCCTGGCCTTACTACTATAGGAACAAGAAGCTGCATCCAGGACAAAGATAGTAAAATGAATTGGGTGCGGCATCACTTGTCAGAGGTGCGGTGGGAGCCCTTCAACCTCCCAGTACTCTTAGCTTAAAAGGAATAAACCTTAGCTGTCTGGGTGCAGCCATCTCGGGTGTCTCAAAGCCCAAACTCTCGTCTTACGATTCTGAGCATCTGCTCCACCACCACGTTGGGAGGCACAATGAGATGCACACCACCTAAGTCAGACAAAAGTCCGTTGTAGTAGAAGACTGCTTGATGCAAATCATTGAGGACAGAAAACGGATTCCGCCTCGCAAACCGTGCTGCTCTGAATCAAGCACTGGGCTTTTAACCATTGCAATGGCAACAGCACGTCACCCTCGCTTTGGATGGGAGCCTCCATCAATACCAAGACAGGATCACTTTTACAATCCCTCCAAAAGATCTCTGAGTTGCTTCTCCCAAGAACTCTGGGATTCACTGAGTGTGTCCTTTGCTCTCCAAACAAAGGGCTTCCTCTCCTCCTTTCTTAGCAGAGCTCTTGCAGTCTCAGGAAAGGCGGGGCTCTCCTCATACTTTTTCCACTCTTCATGCCCAATTGCAGTTGTTACAGAGGCTTCAAACTTGCATGGCGAAGCGGTCGCGAAGATAACTCTTGCTGGCACTGTAGACTCGCTTGTTCTCCCGGTTGTGGCAAAATGCGCACCCAATGCTACTGCAGAATGTGGGCAAGGTAAATAGCCATATTCATCAACTGAAGTGCGCAGTGCTTCACACATTGCATCATCATCTATTCGCGCTGAATCGAAGATGTTCTGCATTCTTTTTCGCCAGTCTTCCGACAGGGTGAGTCGGCCTGTGTTTTCCATTTCTAGCATCCAAGTTTTTATAAGGCTGCTGTCCTCTCCCGTCAGGTAGTAGAAAATCCGCTCCATATTGTACGGCACTTGAATGTTGATGGCATCCGACAAGGTCTTAAACATGCAATCACTGCGATGAAAGCACCCTGTGCTGATTGTTCGGTAAGTGATGTCATTCTGATTGACACCTGCAATCAAGCATCGAATGGGAAGGCCCATTTGTCGCGCCATGAATGCTGATGCTGTGTTGCCCAAAGCACCCGCTGGAATGACAAAGTCGACTTCGCTGCCAAGCTGGGCCAAGTGGTCTACTGCACGGAAGTAAGACCAAAAGAAATGGGGTAGTTGTGCAAGTGGTCTACCCAAGTTGTAGGAATTAATCCCACAAAGCCCATGCTTTTGTGCAAAGTCCGAATCGGCAGCCAGTCGTTTCAATGGCAGGTCCATGTCATCACCACCACCCTCGAAGGTCACCACAGTGGCCTGGCGACCTGAAATCGTGGTCATCTGCCGTCTCTGAAGTTCTGAAATCTGTCCCTCAGGATAAAAGACCACGATCCTCAGGCAGGAGGAGGCTGCATCCGCCACAGCCCGCATGGCCGCCGGACCCGTGTCGCCGGTCGTCGAGACCAAAAAGGTTCTCTTCTTCCCATCTCGCTCGGCAAAGTGGGCCAGAAGTCGCACCAGCAACTGCTGACCCAAATCTTTGAAGCAAAAAGTGGGACCATGGAATAGCTCTGCAATGAAGACAGGAGATTCAGAACCCGTCTCCGTCATTTCTGTCTTTCGAAATGAGATCAAAGGTACGATGTCTCTGTGAGTGAAGTGATCATAGCTCCCACGGACCAACAACGACAAGACATCCTCAGACAACTCATCTCCTACGAAGAGCTTCAGAAGCTCCAAAGCCAGCGATGGAAAGTCCAGCTTCGACCAAACGGAGAGAGTCTCCGGTGAGATCTTCGGCAGCTCCTCGGGCACATACAGGCCCCCATCCGCGGCGTAGCCGCGCGCGAGCGCGTCCGAAAAGGTGACGCCGGCGTCGCCGCCGCGCGTGCTGCAATACCGCATGAAAAACCGACTCTGAGCGCGACAGCGCGACAGGACGAGATATGTTAAGCGGGTTCCGTGGACGCACAAACACGCTATCTGCTTGCGCTGTGTCGCTTGAGTGGGCTAAGTGTGGTTTTACTCATAGACTAACTTAGGATCTGCACATTCAGCTAACGCTTCCTTGGAGCCACGTATACCATAAGCGGGCCAAGCTATATAATGCAATCAACATCCTGTTCCCAAGGTACCTGCTACAGAGTCTTTCAGAACCATCTTGCTGCGTAGGTTTAGTTGAGAGTCGAGAGTTGTTCATCTACTGTTTACGTGTATGTTGGACCGAAGTCCCTCGCAACAAACCAACAACTCCAAAGCTGAAAACAAAAATTGTTCCCAAAGCATTTGTCTCAAATGGCACAGCATAGCCCATTTGGCCTATTTGGGCTTCAGGATATTCCAATAAAATGCAATGCCCTCTTGGGAGTTCCTTGTGTTCCCGTCCTCGTCTCACGCTGCCAAGAGACCCCAAAACGCGGTCGCACGGATGGTGATCTGCGGCCGGTGGACTCGAGTCATTGCACTTTGCATGTCGTTCCTTGTACTTTGCACTTTGGTTTCGGATTTATATGTAATGTGATATGTTGGTCAAGAGTGATCTCGAGCAAACAAGTTCAGCAAATGGGCATATTCATGCGTCCTGCCAGGAGCGATTGGTATGGAAGTGGCAGTGTGAAGCATCTGTCGCCATTTATACTTTATCCTGAGTACCTGCTATAAATTCATGGATCTCTCCTGGCGACCCGCCTCAGGGTGGATGAAGAGCGCCTGCGAGAAGTCCAGTGTGGCGGCACCCGCAAAGGCCCGAGCCTTGATCTCAGGCTCAGGGATCCACCTGGTCCGAGGTCGCCAGCGATGGAGGTCGGCCCAAAGCTCGCCATGGAGGGTTGATGGCCTCCACCCTAGTGGCGATGGCCTCCACCCTTACTTAGATACTTAGAACAGGCAACAAACATGAATAGTTTTATTTAGGGTGCACTTTATTTAGGGTATGGTGGCTTCATGAGGGGTAGCCTTTCCAGAATCGTTTTGATCAAATGTAAATTGTTTTTACAAAAGGGTTTTATAAAGAACCTTCTACGCAGGACTTGCGTTTAGCGATACTGTCGGAAGCACAGTGGCGCCAGTACTCGGCAAAAGCCGTTGTACAAACCTGAAATCTGTGCAACCGTGTCAGAAATGCAATGTATTAAAAAGATTGTGCAATTTATCACGAATGTCTGCTACGCGACAAAGTTTAAGAGAAAACCAACGAACCAAAATCAAAAATCAAAAACCAAGAAAAAAACAAAAACATAATTAAAACAAAATTCAAAAAAAAAACATTTAAACGAAAAATGTTTGAGACAAAATGGATGCAAACCCAAAAAAAAACACAAGCTCCTATAGTACCACCATTTTGTCTCAAACATGGTTTTTTGGGTGTGGTTGTTTTTTGTGTTTTGGTTTTGTAGTATTCCCTCAAAACTGTTACAGGCCTGGCCCTCACAAAATTGATCTAACAGTGGCTGAAAACCTAGGTTGGGGTGATGTTTTAGCCAAAAATCACTGTAAAACACAATGTATCCCATCTAAACTGTTGCAGGCCTGATCCTCACAAAATTGATCTAAAAATAGCTGAAAACCTAGGTTTTTGTGATGTTTTAGCCAAAAAAACACTGTAAAACACGTTGTTTTTGATCACTTCTTGCACAAAAAACATCTCCCAGGAGCACCCGTTCTGTAAAAGAATTGGTCTTGTGGAAGCCAACTATGTGAGAAACAAGCAAGTGGTAAAGAGGTTCACCAACCGCCGAGCTGCTCTTCTAGTGGGTTGGTGTATGTTGTTGTTGTTGTTGTTGTTCTTGTTATTGTTGTTGTTGTTGTTGGGTTGAAGCCCCTTTGTGACTCAAGGATGCTGAGGATCATCCACTCGATGCTTTGTCCGTGATTCACGTGCATGCAGTGGATCGCTGTGAGCGCGGTGCTGCTTGCACTCCTGCAGTGGTCGCTGCTGTCGACTGGAAGGTCACCTGGAGAAGCTCAGTGGATCTCCTGCCACCGCCACACCGACGCATCATTGTGTAGGACGGTGAGCATCTTGATCCCCACTTGCTTTCTTGTGCATTCACAATCGTGGTCCCAAGTCCACGAACTGGGTGGTTTTGATTTGATCTCGCGAGGTGGGCATTTCATTCCCAGTAGGGGTGAGGGTTGGGTGAGGGCCATGACTCACCTGAGGGCAGAGGGCATTGATCATTCGATTGCGGATCATAGAGACTCTGCGAAAAGGCATGGCTTCGGGCCGGCTAGCTGGGGGGCCTTTAAAGGCTTACACCCTCGTTTGAAGCGCAGTTTTCGTCGTGCCAAAACTAGAGCTGTTCGTAATGGGTACTGTTGGTATCGTGGGAAACTTCTTGACCGCACACAACTAAGTTGCTCTCCTGTGCCGGAGCCGCCTGTGACCCCTGTCCGAACCAGACCACCGCGACCGTCTCAGCCTAATCTCAGGACACGCATTCATGCACTTGCTTGGAATAGCACTGGCCTGGCATCTTGGAAGTTGGACGAGCTCAGATGCTGGCTGGCTGACCAACCTTTTCAGGTGGTGCTCCTCACTGAGACACGCTGGCAATATGATCGCGAATGGATTGAAGGTGGCTGGATTCACATAGCATGCAGCGGAGATCCCTACCGTTCATGTGGGATGCTCTTCATGATTCGTACCACGCTGCGCCATCAGAGTCAAACCAGTTGGAAGTCTGTCATTCCGGGTCGCCTGGTTATGTTCGCCTTTATCTTGCTAGGCCCCTTGATTTGATTGGATGCTACCAACATGTCTTTGTGAATAAATGCTCAAGTAAGCAGAATCAACTTCTTTGGGTTCGATCACTTGATACTCTTCTTCATGATCTTCCCAAGCGTAACAACTTGATTTTTGTTAGGAGATTGGAACTGTGGCCTTCCCAAATCCCTGCCGCATATTGGCACCTCTGACTTTCTGAGTTCGCTTGGCCGTCAATCGGTCTCGCTTCATGAGGATTGGAATAAGCATCTTGATCTTGTTCGTACACATGACCTGTGTGCCATCAACACATGGCCATGACACAGGACCCACATGTCAAACGGCCAAGGGTGACTCCTCACGCATTGATTACACTTTTGTTCGCATGAGGCAGGCTGACCGTGAAGCACTGGAATGCGTGCCATTGGAATCCTTTGATCTTCTTGGTCCGACTAAGATTGGGCATCGACCATTGATCGGTTCGATTCGTCTTGCGTGACGTCCCTCCACTGGAGTGGCGCTCAACCGAGTGACCCATCAAAGCCGTGCGATGCGCCGTGCTGCACAACAGGACCCTGATCGATGGAACACCTTCTTGACGGCTAGCGCTTCCATCCTGACTGAGGCCCGATGGTTTGACATACATGACGTTCAGCATGCGCAAGATTGCCTCACACACAACTTCCAAAGGATGGTTCAGAAGCAACAAGTGGTCACTGCCCCATGGCGTTTGTCCAAAGGGTTGATGGCCACCAAATGGGACCTCCTTGCTCGCCTCCGCACTTTGCCTCGCGCGAGCCTTTCTAGTTGTTTTAAAGGTTGGCATCTTGTTACGGCACACCACAAATGTCATCTTCAACAACAACAACAACAACAACAACAACAACAACAACAACAACAACAACAACAACAACAACAACAACAACAACAACAAC